TTTCTTCCATTTGCTTTAGCTACTCTCTGCTCAAGGGCAAGTTTCAGAGTCTCTTCTGTCATCCATTTTGGTCTTCTCTTCTTTTGTTGTCTTTTTAGTGACCTCTTGCTTTCTTCATGGATGATGCTCTTGATGTCATCCCACAATTCATCTGGCTTCCAGTCACTGGCATTCAAATTTATTCTTCAGATGACCTCTAAATTCAGGAGGGATATATTCTAGATTTTGGCTCTTGTGGACTTGTTTTAATTGTCTTTAACTTCAAATTGAATGTGCATATGAGCAGTTGATGGTCTGTTTCACAATCAGCTCTTGGCCTGGTTTTGGCTGAAGATATTGAGCTTTTCCATCACCTCTTGCCACAGATGCAGTCAATCTGATTCCTGTGTGTTCCATCTGGTGAAGTCCACATGTTCAGTCACTGTTTATATTGTTGAAAAACGGTGTTTGCCATGAACAAGTCGTTGTTCTTGCAAAATTCTACCATGCAAGTTCCAGCATTATTTCTGTCACCAAGGCCAAATTTTCCAAATACCGGTGATTCTTCTTTGTTTCCAATTTTTGCATTCCAGCCACCAGTGATAATTAACACATCCTGATTGCATGTTCCATCAATTTCAGACTGCAAAAGTTGATATAAATCTTCAATTTCCTCACCTTTGGCTTGGGTGGTTGGTGCAAAAATTCGAATCATAGTCATATTAACGGGTCTTTCTTGTAGGCGTATGGATATTATCCTATCACTGAAAGCACTGTACTTCAGGACAGATTGTGAAACATCCTTTGTGATGATGAATGCCACGCCATTCCTCTTTAAACTGTCATTCCTGGCAAAGTAGATCATATGGTTGTCTGATTCAAAATCAAAACCAGTCCATTTCAGCATGCCATTTCATTTTTGACAACTTCCAATTTTCCTAGATTCATACTTTTGACATTCCATGTTTCGATTATTAATGGATGTTTTCCCTGTTTCTCCTCAATTTGAGTGGTGCCATGTGAGCAAATGGAGGTCTTGAAAGTTTTACCTTATTCATATGAGTAAGGCTAATTTTACTCTGATAATACAGCTCTTTCCCAGTCCTACTTTGAGAGCTTTCTAAGCTAAGTGACTCATCTTCCTCCTCTGTATTGGACAACGTTTCTGGACTATTCATAAAGTTGTGCAGTAATGTATCAGACAGTGTTTCTCTGCTATTCATAAGGTTTTCCCTGGCCAATTCTCTGAGAAGTGGATGCCCTTCTCTTTCTTCCCAGTCTGTCTCAGTTTGCAAGCCGGGCTGATACCTGTGCAACAGGTGCACCCCACTGGGTTTGAAACACCAGTGGCATAGCCTCAAGACTCACAGCAACACATCACCACAGTAGGACAAACCGACAGACAAGTTTGTCTCCCTTAGCTGTTGGAAACCCCTCCAACCACCCTTACCTGGATCCCTGCAACTAACTCATCGATCTGTTCCACTCCCCTTTGCTTTTCTGTCCTCTCCCTGCTTCCTGCCTCGCTGCTTGTGGGGGGTGGCCTGGGTTCCCTCTCCTCACCTGGCTCCCTGTGTTTGAATCCTTGATCTGTTCCTATCCCCTTTGCCTTTTCTGTCCTCTCCCTGCCTTCCTGCCTTCCTCCTTCTGGTGTGTGGCCTGGGTTCCCTCTCTTCACCTGGGTCCCTGAGGCTGACTGCTTGATCTGTTCCAGTCCCCTTTGCCTTTTTTTGTCCTCTCTCTGCTTCCCGCCTCGCTGCCTGTTCTTAAGTCCCTTTATTTGTCCTCTCTCTCCTTCCCGCCTCGCTGGCTATTCTTAGGCCCCTGGAATCCGAATGAGAATGCTATCACTTTAAATATCCAAAATAGCCACCACTTGTAAACATTCAAAATGGCTGTGCTCTGTCACTTTAAATATCCAAATGGCTGCCATGTGTAAACAATCAAAATGGCTGCGCCCTCCAGACAAACAATAAGGTCAGCGAAAAAACATGAAAACCTGCAATATCTGGGGATAGGGCAATAAGATAAAAATGGGAAGAATGCAAAAAGAAAAACAAAGAATGGTGTTAACCATGAGAAAAAAAGAAGAAAAAAAATATTTCGCAACGAGGAACAGGGAAAAGAAAAAAAGAAGCTGAAAATTAGGACCTGGGAGGGGAAAAATAAAGAATAATAGTAAAAAGGACAAAAAGTATTAATAATAGTAGTACTTTTAAAGAAGACAAAAGCAAGCAAACTAAAAACCAGAAAAAAAGAAAGAGAGACAAAAAAAAATCAGGGGAGGGCAGGACAGGGCACCCAGGCTCTGTCCAAGCACACAGAGTGGGATGGAGTTCTTGTGGACCCAGAAGGTGGGTGGGAGTGTGGGATGGCCGAACCTCCATTCACTAAGCGGGTGTTGGGTATAAGAGTAACAAGGGGAATGTCGCACCTTTTCAGTCATCCAGGTCTGGATTGTCCTTGGGGTTACTCAGATATCTTCTAGTTATTTCTGGAGACTAGAAGTCTAAATTAGGGCTTTGGTTCTAGGGCACGGTCCTTCCTTGTCAGTTGATCTGGCAGTTCCCTGGCATTCCTTGGTTTCTCCTAGAGCTAGGACCCTGAGCCTGTTCTTAGGTCCCAAACCCATTGCCCTTGAGTCAATTCGGACTTATGGTGAGCCAATGTAATCCTTGTTAGAAAGAGGAAATTTTAAAGTGAGTTTTTTTTATATTTGTCTTAGTTTAAGGCCAAGAGTTTAGCAAATAATAACATTCAAAGTTTCCCAAATCAGATAAAATCTGGAGATCCTGGATAGAGTGGGAGGGAAAACGTGTAACAAAATTCAAAACCACAAAATGAACAGAATTACCAGTCAGAAAGAGACTGGTAGAACCCCCAGACTATGGCTCTGGGCCTAGAAATAGACTCACTTACATGGATTGGCTCTCAGCCTGATAGAAAGACCTACATACAGAACACCTACCCCAGGTCAATGCATCCACCTACTCAAAGGAGATGCACCCCTTAGATCAAGCAGCCATGAGACACCAAAGGAGTAGCACTCACATACAGAAAAAGCTGGACAGACAGGAATACACAGGTAAGAAGGGCACAGGGAGGGAGTGGTCACAGGGAGGAGAGTTTTTTACGGTTGGGGATGGTAATCAGGACCATGAGATCAGATGTGCATGAACTGTTGGATGTAAAACAAGTTTGCTATGTAAATTTGCACCCAAAACACAATTTTAAAAAATTTTTTAAAAGAAAAAAAAAGTTCCCCAAATCAGGTACATTCATAGACGGAGGAAACTGGTTGAGACACAAAGGATTTTAAAGCAATTAAAGTTACCTCACAAACTGCTGAGAGGAGTCAGTCACCTGTATTGAGGCAAAAGCTAAGTGACTGTCAGGGAATTTGTAGAAGCAATTGGGGTGCTGAGATGCCATGTCTGACTGGATGACCTCTAATGCTGCTCCCAAACTTTGCATTCAATCATTCAGTATTTTAAGATTTGCAGAAGAGGGATTTGAAGGCAAAAACAAAGACATAATTTTGGCTGTCTTTGAGTCTGTCGTGGCCTATTTTGATTAATGTCAAGATTATTTAGTTAACATAACCATCAAAGATTGTTGCTCTTTAGGACTGAATGAAGATCATAACTGGTTAATACCGATCACAAGGTAACATTCAGGATATGTGTTCTGATAGATTCTTTGTATTTTTTTTTTAATTATTATTGTTTTATGTTTACTAATGACTTCTTTTCTAGTTTATTCCTTTAAGTTTTTTGGTTCTTTTTGTTTTCTTTGAAAGTGTTGTAAAAATAGCAACACAACATCATTTATCTCTAAATAAGAATGCACAATATTCACCTTGATTCTATCCCATGTACAAAATATGTATTTTTAGTTGAAATGAGTTCAGATAAGAAAGGCTGCACATTGACACTTACTAGATTTGGTGTATGCTGCATTGATCTCATGGACGACACACTAGTCTGGTGCATGTACCCATAGCCTTGGGAATGGCTTTGTTGGTAGGCTCCAGGAAGAACAGGGGCTGTACATTAAACATAAACACACACAAAAAAAGATTCTTTAAAGTGAGTCTCAAAATACCCCTCCCCTCAAGCCCTCAAGTGATTTTATACTCTGCTAGATGCTCTGAAACAAGATGTAATTGTCAGTGTCGTATGTAATTTGCGTAGTGGTTCTATAAGAACTCCCCAGATTAGTATAAATTTTGGTAGTTAAGGACATATATAGGAATCAGTTTAGCATGCAGTGAGAAATAGATTTTAATGTTTTCATTACTCTATTGCAGATGCTATGTTACAACATAAATACAAGGCAAAAATTTCCCATAAAACCTTAACAAAATCATGTTTTCATTTAACCATGTGATGCTTCTAGACATTTTCCAAAATAAAAAATAAAGACTTTAAAGGGATTTAGTTGGACTGCCAAATCAATGGCAGCATATGAATACTTTCACAGAGTACTTCTCATATACTGGGATATTTTTAATGCTTTGAGACACACAGCTGAATATATCATTCAGCTTTACAAAGATGGTAAGCACAACATATGCTTAGCAATATATGTTTGTTTAGCAGTTAATAAAAAGTCTTTACCCTTAGAAGAAATATTTATTTAGAATACCTGAATTCTTTTCATTTTGACTGTAAATCAAACCTAAATAAGTAAAATGATGATGTTACAAAAGTCTGAGAAACCAAACCACTTAAAGAATTTAATAAACATTATCCTTCTATATTAAAATAATAATAATAAAATAGTACTCACTAAGCTTGTATTGTTCTCAACAGTAATTATGGCATTTAAAAGACATTGCTCGTGATTTGAAGAACATTAAATTCTAGAGACATCAACAAAGAAGGCTCAATAAAAAACACCACAAAATCAATAGAAATATGTTTGTGTTTGTTTATCTCTGCAAGTATGTCTTTGTAACCAGAAGTGTGAACTAGTAATAAAGGTATTTATTTTAGTAGCATGCCTTTCATTATGCTTTGAATGATTATATACTAGTGTAACTCGTATAATATAAATGCTATCAAAATCCATAATAGGTTACTATTTTTGGTCAATCAGGTTGTTATAATGGGTCAATTTATTCAGAATAGTTTTTATAATAAAAGGAGAAAGTATATTAAATGCTTGGGTTTTATGAATAATTAATATTTTATAAGTAGTACCTTCATTCTAATGATACATGAGAACATCAATACATTAAAGAAGTTTAATCATCAGAAAATTATAAATCATTAATATGTTCTCCAGGTAATAAGTTGAAAGGGATTTTCTTTTTGGTAGTGTTTAATTTATATTATAATATTATTACAAACTGTATTTATTTAATAGCCAGATATGGCAGCAAAGAGAAATGACCAAGATCTTCACTTGCGTTTTGGTATATTACAGTTATTAAAACATCATTAAACATCAAAAATTTCAGAAAATAACACTTTTAGCACTATCAACTGAATTTAGATATTTAATGTCAAGAGTTGTGAAGGACATTGTCAAAATCTACTCATTAAGAACAACTGATATTCCCATAAATATCTTGTTGTTGTTGTTGTTATGTGCCGTCGAGTCGAACCCGACTCATAGCAACCCCTCCTTGGGTTTCCGAGGCACTATC